TCCTGCTGCAATTCAGTGAGAAATTTGAAGTAAAAAGGCAAGGATCTTTCTCTTGAGCTTAGGCACTTGCATCAAGGACTTTAGGGGAAGTATCTCTGTCAGCTTGGAAGCTGCAACCCAGCATCTTCTGGGGCACACATTGTTTGGAAAGAGTTGAGCAGAGTTCTTCAAAGTGATGCTGATCTTCATGCTATATAAGCTACCAGAAAGGAAATGGAAATTAACTTTGTTTCCTCTCTCAGGCTGAGGATGTTCAGGCCCACAGCTCTCAATCCCTAGAATCACTAGGCTCCTAGACAGAGATATAAAAAATGATCTGGTCAAAATGCAGCCATTGTACAGCTAGGAATGCAAGAAAGAAGAACAGGGAAGAAAGACCTGGTTTTGCAGGCTTGTAGTCAAGGCTTTCAGCTGGGAGAATGTTGCTTTCAAAAAAGATGGTTTTGGTCCAGTCAGCTCCACTGATTCGTTACGGATTTTGTTACACAGACACTCTCGGTCGAATACTGAAATCATCTTTGGGACAAGTATTAGAATTCTAAGTTCTGGTATTAATATATGAGAAAGTATATAGTTTTGAATTTTACATTCAAATGTGGCATGTTTTAATCATGGCAACTTCTGGGGCTTAGTGTGGGCTACTGAATGTATTTTGTGATTTTTAGATAGGGCTATGTAGAATGGGTATTCTGTGGAACCTTCTGCAGCTGATGTCCGAATGTTTGGTTAACTGTGTCTGCAGAACACTGGTTTGGGGGACTTGGGTGGTCTATCCAGTCCTTGGTTTCTTATGCAAAATAAGACCCAGAACACTTTAATTGGAATAATAGTTAAAGTTAAGTGCAAGGTGGATCTTAAAAGGCAGTAATGACATGCAAACCCAAAGTCATAATTTCTTAGATACTTGAAAGACTGAAAACACATTCCTCTATGGGAACATTATGCTAAAAAGAAAGGGCTGGATGCAAGACAAAGGAAGCATAAAGACAGAATTTCAACTTCTAGAGCTTTAACTCAGATCATCACATTCTGTATTTTTCCACCTACAGACAATGAGCCAAATTTTCGGAACTGAATTTAGATGCCTCTAGAGCTCTTTGTTGTGAGCAAGCGAGAGCTAAGTATTAGCAGGTCCCTAGACAAAATATAAAAGCAGCAGTATCTATTGGTCTTAATGCCAGTACATTAGCAGCAAGAGTAGGGTCAAGTCAGATTTCGCAGATGTTCTTCGTAGACTGACTCGGAGGGGCAGAGAATCTAGCTATTTATTTCTGATGAATGCAGATCCACCAGTTCTTCGTGGAAGACAAACAGTACATTTATGAAGAAGTTTGAAGAACGTGAATGTGTCCTTGATGATTTCTGTGTAATTGATGAGGGGGGAGGTGAATTTACTCACCCTAAAAAGAATATGAAGAACAAGTTGGCTGGGGACTGCTGAATCTAGCATCAGGGGACAGAGGGTGGAGGCCCTGTTTGTGTTTGAAAGATTGAAAACAGATTTCTCAAGTCATGGAACATGATGGAAATGAAGTGTTAAGAGGTTCATGACACCATCTGGGAAATATGATTGGGATGTAATGAGTCTGTGCCACTTTGAGAAAATAAAATATTTGAGAATGTTTAACTCGTTGCATATATAAGGCCATCTTGAGGACATTACTGATGGATTACATTGTCTTCCTTGAATTTTATGAAAGAAAAGACTAAGATTCTGCTCATAACACCTTAATAGAAAGAAAATGAGTTGTTAGTGCCTTGAATAAGATTTTGAGTTTCTAGTTATAGACACTGCTGATGGGAAAATCGCATTCTTTAATATTTTGTTGAAGATATTTAAAAACAGTGATTCATTAGCATTTTATTGTTGAAACTGAGTAGGAGTTTCTGTTGATTCTGTGACTGAGCCAAAGTAGTGTTGTGTTGCTAGCTTTGTTGCTGCTTTCATTTTGTTCGTTTAGTTGAGTTTAAATTAGTCAGAATTGCTAACCTGCAACTTTCATGGAAGGGTATAATTGAAGCATACATAGGTGTTGCTTTTGCTTATATTTCTGATGATAATTATTTACTATGTTTCTTCTGTAGAAACCGGCAGCTGTCACTATAAATTTAGAGAGAGAGTTAACTTGTGATCTCATTTTCATTAACGTGTTGCTGGAGTAACTCCAGTTTAGTCAACAGAGTTATTCTAGTTTTATTTCAGTTCATATAGAGCATTATATAGTGTGCAAGGGAACTAGATCTCTTTTACTGGCCCTGAGGAGAAAAACAGTCTACAAGACTGCTTATTTTATTTATTAAACTGATTATATTAGCAAGAATTAAGCTAATGTGTTCTGAATGGTATTGGATAATTTGGTATGCACAGAGGTGAAAATCCTCAATGGTGGCCATGAGGAACCTTCAGCATCTTCAGTAAAAATTCATGCTGAATATTTATTGTGCATAATTTTCATCTCTCAGGCCAAACTAGAACCGTAGAGATGAGAGAGAATAGCCTTTTGTACCGGGTACTACCTGTCCGCTTTTTGCTGATTGCCTCCCCATTACAATGGTAGTAGACATATGCAGCTTTTGTGTTTCATGTTTTCCATTGACTGAAAGTAGAGATGGTGTGCAAAGAAACTTTTGCAGCTTGAGGGTGACTTGATCAGTGATTACATATGACTGAATTCAGGACCAAACTGATAAAGCGTTTCCCTTGAATGGGTCACTGGAGTATCCAGGTGAAAATGTACCATGTAAGAAAGTGAATTGTTAAATTCATTCAAGCTTCCTATGATTGTTCTGGAGAACATATGTAGTGTGGGACAAGGCTGATCTTGAAGGCTGATCTACATTTATGAAAGAGAAGGGTGGCAGGCAGAAGGCATGGTAGTGACTGAAGAAAAGGTCTAAATCACTTCCTCTTTCAGGGAGAAAGTGAAACAAACAACTTCTCCTTAGAGTGTTTATCTCCTTACATGTATGTGTTGCTGAGATAAAGTGGAGTTGCAATGTGCCCCGTGTTTTGCAGCTTTGTTTAGAAATGAATGAGGTTTAGGGAGAAAAGAGACTCTCCAGGCCTTTGCTTAGCTCTGGAGATGAAATAGAAACCAGAACACTTTTTAAGGGTCAGAAAATTATGTTTTATTTCTGGGATCAGTCATAATCTGCTGATACTCCTCAAATTACGCTAGAGGACCTAGTTCTGAGAATCTTGTTTAGAATATTTCTGCTGGGTGGCATCTGAGTGCCTACCTGCAGTATCTACAATGCGTATTTTAATACTTGTCCACAGACAGCAATCAACTTGCAGTGTGTAAAGCAGCTAGAGACCTGTCTGTGTATCAGTGTGCATGATAATATTTTTTTTAAACACGTGAGATGCCCTGAACACTTATAGTGGTTTAAAAGATTATGTCACTTAAAGGCTTCAAAGTGGTGCTCTGCCATCCCATAATAATTTTAATTGATTTTTTTTTTCTTTTTGTCACCAGCAGTATTAGTGATTTTTGCTGGTGTGCCCATGATGCAAATCTAGTATAATTTCTTGACAACCTCTTTTACTGGGCTTTGAATTCTTTTTTTCTTTTCTGTATATTGCTGATTCCCCTTAATTAACAGGGGAATATCTGGCAGGGCCAATGTTCCGCACCTTACGGTATCAAGCTGTGTAAAAGAAAAAGAGAGTCCTAATTATTAATAAAGATGTTATGATTCCTAGTGACATAACAATGCAACTTCTGCAGCTATACTTGCATCCACAGCTACTGTCTAGCTCTCCCAAATACCTCTGTGCTTGAGGCAAGGATTAGTGAATCAGATTCGTTTGCCTATGTTATGCAGGTTAGGCTAAGCAGGCTTCTTTATCTTGAGTGGAATTC